TAATACTCATACCCAAAAATTACTTAAAAAAAAAAAGCTCCTTTAACTCAGTTCAATAAATTATCAATAAAATTATTAAAAAATAAATAAAATCAACACAAATTATGCCTTGAATATCGACACCTCTGCCTCGATCTGATGAATTGTGTATACTTCATGTGTTCAGTCATGTGAGAAGCGAGGGGAAGAAGCCAAAAAGGTGCCTCACATGTCACATTGTTGCACAATGGTCAACGAATGCAGGACATGAGCAAGAATGTTGTGAATTGTATCCTTGTTTTCACCCACACTGATGCTTATCATATGTATCACGAAATTTCATTATATTATTTAAATAAATGAAATGATATGTCCCGATTCAAAAAGTTGGATTGTTGATATAACGGTCACTTGGAAAGGATCTGTGCATGTTCAAATGATGTAATTGGTACAGCGGTAATTTTCAATTGATAAAAGAGACTTAGATATGGATGTGATGGACTTAAGGAGAAAGAAGGTCTCACATTTTGCATTAAAATAAAAAAAAGAATGGGGAAAATAAAGTCGTAACAACTAATAGACAGCCAATTTGGACGTCTAATTTGATTAGGTAATTGGTGCAGTGGTAGTTTTCAACTGTTAGAAGTTAACAATTTTAAAGTTCTAGCTGCATTACACACGGATGTTATAGATTAAGGGAAAAAGAGGGCCTCACATTTTGCAAAGGAAAAAAAATTTGTGGAAAATAAACTTGTAACAGCTAACAACTAAAAGACAATCAATTTGAAAATCTATTTTGACTAGGTGAAATCAAAATAATAAAACTAAATCAGTAAAATTGACAATTTGCTAAATTTTAGCATATAAGGAATAAAAAAACATAGATACATTCTCTCATGTATAAATTCATAATTAAATACAAAAAAGTATATATAGACAAACAAGTGAATTCAAAGAACTAATTACCAATTAATTTTTCAAGGATGAGTAATATGTAATTTTGTTAAAATGTGTATGGTTGGATTACTCCTTCCACCCTGCAATAATAATATTTTGATTTGTCAAGAAAAAGATAACTAATTACCGGCTACTCCGTTGTAATAACCAAAAAGTTACAATAAATCATCAAGTCTCCATAATATAATATTTCTTTTAATTAGAATTCAACATGAATCATTAAATATATATATTTCAATTTTAGATTACACAATAAAAAGTAATTTTTTTTTATTCCTTTACCACACTTATATACCATATAACTAAAATTCAAGGTTTCGTATTTTAAGATATTACTATTAAAATATTTAAGTCGTTGAGGAATCATTAAATATTTAGAACAAGTGAAAAATAAATGAAAAGAATCAAATGACTTTGAACTGGATAATGTCTAAAACTCAAATAAATCATCAATGTTCTCAACATATTATTCAGAGTGGGGCTGGGTTCTATTTTATGCTAAAGAGAAATGAAGCCCAATGTGAAACTCACTTGAAAAATGGACCAAATTCTTCAATATTGTGAAATCACAATTTTATGTGATTTTATGATTTTTCCCAAGTTTATGAAAAATCGATCTTGAACTTGAGTTCCTTATCTAGAAATATAAAATTAAAACCGATTCCAAACTCAAGTTAAGTTTAGGACAATAATACAAGAACAATTTTTTTATACAACTTTTTTATACAATTTTTACATGTTATTAAATAGTTGTCATCTTCTGATGACATCTTCTGATGACATCTTCTGATGACATCTTTTGATGACATCTTCTGATGACATAGCCTAGTTGCCATTTTTCCACCCAACCACATCATCTATCAATTAATTTATAAATTTGAAAACAAAAAGATTATTATGACATTAACATCATTTTTCCACCCATCCACATCATCTATCAATTAATGTTCTTCTTCTTCATCATTTTTCCACCAATGCACATCACCCATGCTCCTTGTCATTGTCGTTTTCTTCTTCTTCTTCTCTTTCTTCTTCTTCGTCGTTATTGTCTTCTTTTTCTTCGTCATTTTTCCACCCATGCTCATCGTTGTCGTTGTCGTCATCATCGTCATCATCATCATCATCGTCATCATCATCATCATCATCATCATCATCTTCTTCTTCTTCTTCTTCTTCTTCTTCTTTGTTGCCATCATCTTCTTCTTCATCATTTTTCCACCCATGCTCATCCTTGTCCTCCTCCTTGTCATCTTCTTCTTCATTGTCGTCTTTTTCTTCTTCATAATTTTTCCACCCATGCTCATCCTCGTCTCCACCATGTCATCTCCCTTCTTTTTCTTCTTCTTCTTCCATCAGTTCCAAAGCAAGTCTTCTTCTATTTCTTCTTCTTCTTCCATCAATTCCAAACCTAGTCTTCTTCTATTTCTTCTTCATGCTCCTCCTCCTCTTCCTCCTCTTCCTCCTCCTTTTTCTTCTTCCATCAGTTCCAAACCTGGTCTTCTTTAGTTTCTTCTTCTTCTTCTTCTTCTTCCATTAGTTCCAAATCTGGTCTTCTTCTATTTCTTCTTCATTCTCCTCCATCCAAGCCTTACCACTTATCAATTCCTCCACTATTCATGTGCCTCCTTTTTCCCTCTCATTGATTGAATCCAATTAATGGTGTTAACGACCACTTAAAGTTTTAAAAATGAAAGATAAGTGTAAAATTTGAAATTTTTGTAGTTCTCATTTATTTAAATTATAAGGTGGGACAAAACCATTTAAAAATGCTATCTATAAAGATTGGTGTCTAGAGGTGCAAATTATGCATGGGAAAGTTACACTGACACTCCACAACCTTCGTAAAAGACATGGTTGCATACTCTTAACTTCGAGGTTTTAATTTAACTCAACTTACTTTATGTTAGTCCTTACTTGACTTTTCTAAAAAGTGATGAGTGAATTTGAACTTTTTGTGAAAAGTGAGGGATTTGTTTACAAAGATTGAAAAAGATTTTAAAATTTTGAAAAAGTTGGAAAATCTTGGGGTTTAATTGCTAAAATGAGAATTTTAAAAGGATTTGTTTATTTTTTGTAATTTTTTGACTAATTGGGCAAGGATTTTTTTTTTTTTGAACAGGTAATATTTATTAAAAAGAGAAGTACAAGGTATCTCAAACCCTTAAACATCCAAACTTAAAAGGTATAGATTACATAGTTGAATATCCTTGCCGCTTGGTGTCGACACCAAAACTATGTGTCAACACCACATCCGTGTAGGGTTTGGATGCTCAGTCCTTCCGTTTGGTGTCGACACCAAAATTACGTGTCAACACCAAGTCCGTGTCGGGATTTTGAATGCTAAGCCCTCCCGTTTGGTGTCGACACCAAAATGTTTGGGCAAGGATAAAAAATTAATGAAAATAGAATAATTAGATTAAGATGTTTTACTTCAAAAATGGAAATGAAAATATTTGATTTGGTAAAGTTTGATCTATTGACTAATAAGTCAAATTATATTGATTAAAAACCAGTCAAGAAAATTATGCTCATATTATAATAATTAAGCAAATTTATTAAAATTAATTAAAAATAATTAACTATTTTAATTAAACACTAATTATCATAATCAAGTCTATGACTAATGATAATTAGAAACAATAAGATAATTAATCAAGATTAATTAAAATTAAAGGTTAGTGAGTATTAGTTTTGACTCTAAAAAATAATTGAAGTTTTAACCTAACTTAAAAACTAAAATTTCATCTTATTAAATGTTGATATTTACACTTAGAAACTCATTATATATTTTAATATATCAATATTTAATAAGATAATTTTTTAAATTTTAAATTAAATTTTCAGTTTCAAAATGCCAATATTAAATATTTAATAAGATAATTTTTTAAATTTTAAATTAAATTTTAATTAAATAAAATAACATGATTTAATATTGAGATTTCAATTATTTTTTAGAGTTAG